CGTTGCAGTCGTAAATCATGCGGTGATCTCCGCTCGGGGCTGCCTGCCCCGCGGTCTTGGGTTAGAAGTGAGCGCCCGTCGCATTCATTTTGTCTCCCTTTCCCCGAGCAGAAGGGGACCGGGGCTGGAAGGTTGTCACAGGTGCCGTCCTAATGTGATGCTCCAAAAGTGCTCGCAATGGCACCAGACGGCTGCAGGCAGCGCTCACGGGGCTCTGGCTGCTACTTTCCTTGGGTGCCTTCGTTTCCTCGGGGGCAGTCACCGATCCTGCGATTCATAGTTAAGGAGCTTGCCTTTACGGTGGTAGCCAGAGGCCTCTGTCCGGGCCGGCGTGCCACGGGGCCGAACCACAGCGAGCAAGTCCTACGCCTACATGCCCCTGGTTACAACTGGAGACCCCAGCTCCTGTCCCGTCCCCTGCAGAAGAGTCTCCCATCCCCTGTTCAACCACACTGCATGCGAGCAATTCCCCTTCAGTCTCTTCTTCTCCAGACTGTCATTCTTGATCTTCCAGCCGTCCTTCATAGCTTGTGTTTCCCGGACCTCTCAGTGCCGTTGTTGCTCTTTTAATGCTTCTCCGATTAGTTTTGCTCCTGGCAAGGTCCGTGCGAGTCTGGACTGTCTGTGGGACCCTTGCTGCAAGGACACGCGGGAGACCCTGGCAGCTGTTTGCAAAGCGCTGAGATGACGCTCGGGGAAGGCAAGGCCGGGAACCTTGCACGGGGTTGCACCAATGTCGTTCTTGCCCGCAGGAAGATCTGAGACAAGTCTGGGTCTGCGGGACCATGGCAGTGGAGCTCTTTTTTGGGTGGTTGGTTTCTTGGGCTGCAGAAACACATCTCATGCTGCACTTATCCCCTCACCTGCTCTCCCTTGGAAGCACGTGGATCGTCTCGTGTCCTTCCAAGGAAGAGCTGCATTTTCTCCCATGCCTTGGCTCTGGGGGAGAAGGCAAAGCAAGTGTGTTCACCATCACGTGCTGGGATTGTGCCCCCTAAATGGGTCACGACTCAAGGATCCAGAGTGGCATCACAGGATCTACATTGTCTTGATCTTGAGAGATTCCCTGAGCAAGCGACCATGCTGGGCCATCGCCTTGCCCCGCTCCCGCTACATGCCAGCACGGCTGGGAAGGTGGGACTAGCATTTCTCTTGCCGCTGCCGGCCTCCGCTCCCCCATTCCCGCCTGCCTGATATTTGTTCCCTTTCCTCTCTCACCTCTTTTACCTTCTAGCAATAAAGAGTCTGGTGCCGCCAGCCAAAACCACCTCTTTTGCAAAATGCCGCAGGCCTGCGACCAGAAAGGCGGCCACAAGGAACGTCTTAAGCTGCCGCGGTGCGAGTTGGCCAGGTCTTGGCGTCCGCTCAGACCCGTGCGGGGCATGCCTTTCCCTGGTCACAAGTAGGTGTCAGGACCAGGAATAGAAGCCAGGCGCGCTGTCACCTCCGGTCGTTTCACTCCCTGTCTGTCCACGTTTGCCTCGGTTTGTCTTTAAGGGAATAGGACCAGACACTGCTAACAGGAGCAGCAGCCGCCTGCCGCAGCCCTTCTGGATCAGCTCTCCCTGGCTGCCAGCAAGGACCCATTTGTTAGTCTTTAATACCAGGTGGCAGACTGTCAGCAGGAGGTTTCCTGGGAGGAAGACAGAGGCACGATGAAAAGGCGGCACCCTTTGGACTTCGAATAGCCCTGAGTCAACACAGCCAGGAGAGATTTCCATCTCTCAGCAGCTGGGGAAAGCTCCCAGTGACAGCAGCCTGGTTTCTCCCTTGATCCCAGGTACAGCGACAGGCGCCAACACCCCTGGGCCGGCCCTGAAATTGCCCCTGACATTCAACCTCACCCCCCGGCACCTGGCATTCACGGACTGGACGGCAAATACCTGGTGTCTTTGCCTTGCCGGACTGCAACGGCGTTTTGTGCCACAGTCAGACCTGCGCGTGATACCTAGGCAAGAGCTATTGCAGGTCGCTGGTGGCTGCGTTCGCCGCCCGCGTGTAGGAGCAGGGCACCTGCATCCGTGCAGGGGCTGGACTGCGATGCTCGTGAGGTCCCCCAGCCCTTGGCTCTGTCGCTGGGCTGCATTCGGGTGGGAATCCCCCTTGGACAGTGACGCTGCTGGCTCCAGGTCTGTGCTGGCCCCGGGTCCCGGTGCACAAACACCTCCTCGAGTTGATCTTGGCACCTGCTTCTCTGTGCTTAGCTAATTAACAATCTGCCTCGCGTCCCCGAGCCCTGGCAGGGCTGCTTTCCCCTGCACTTCTGCAGCGTCGGGTGGCCCCGGTGCCAAAGTGCTTTGGAAACACAAGCTGCTCCTTATGATGCCCTGTGAGGCAGGTCCTCTCCGCGCCCAGCACTGGCACTTCCAGCCCCTCACAACTATGAAACTTGGAGGAAAACCAGCGACTGCAGACCAGGGTCAGTGATGGGCAGGCAGGGCAGGACCTGACTTGGGAAACCTCTGGTGCATTCCCATGATGGTCAGGTCCAGCATAGGAAATAAACCTCCACAGAGGGGAAGGAAAGGTCTCCTCGCCGCACCAGTCAGCCTGCGCCGGGTGCTGTACACCAGGGTTGGGGCTGAGCAGGAGGAGTCTGTCTGTGGCTGCAGACTGAGTTGTCTGCGTGGCATCACCAGCGCCAGGAGGAGTATCTGGATTTGCCAGTCCAGGGGCTTCCTCCACTTTGCCAATCTGGGGATTTTTCCCTGGCGGGCTCGGTCGGTCTGCTCCCAGCGTGAATCTTTCACGATAAGCACTCCCTCTGCCCAGGCCCTCGGGCACTGGGAGCCTGGGCTGTGCTCAGGCTGGTGTGTGGCACCACCGTCCGGCAGCCGGGCAGAAGTGCACTGGCTTCTCGTCGGAAAGGCTGGTGCCGAGCCAGGGTCCCAGCCAGCCATCCTCGCCTGGGGTTTCTTCTCCAGGGTGCTGGTGCCCCTTTGCTAGTCCCCTCTCTGCAGAGTCCAGCAAAGGAGCTGCCAGGCAGCATGCCCCAGGAAGCGGCAGGCGATAGGCATGCTAGTCCCGGGAGACACGCCGCTGTGTGCGTGCAAATGTCCTGGTGCTCCTAGCCACCCGAGCTTGGCCTGGGCAGTGGCTGAAGGGCCCGTGATACAGCAGGAGTGGGAAATGGGTTATGTGTAGTGGAAGACACGTGGGGCAGCTCCGGGTTGAGTCTTCCCAGAGAGCAGAAAGTGTTGCCTTTAACAACCCTTTTGGCCTGTCTGCAGAGAGGATCAATGCCTTCTGCCCCTGGACTCTGGTTTGCAGTAAGTTAAACACAGCCACCTCTCTACGAATACTCTCGGATGTCCGTTCTGCTCACGGCGGTAAACGAAACCCATGCAATAGTGCCTGCAGGACTGGGGGTCCTAGAAAACACTCACTTGGCCATAAAAGATTCCCAATCCCATGAAGCGTTGGCTGGAAACAAAGCAGGCTGGTTTCGAAGGGTTTGGTCAGCCTCTTTTCACTGGATGCCAGCTCTCC